GTTGAGAACGCTCCAGGGGCACGTTGTTGCGTGCGTGTGGTTGTTGAGAACGCTAATGGCTTAGCGTTCACATCTGGTAATTACCTACCTTACCTAGCAGCATATACTATTAGAGGCTGAATGAAATAAAAACAAAACAAATCAAGGAAGCTGCAGAAGGCCTAATGGCCCATACGAGGCAGCTCCTAGTTATAATCACCCAATTAGAAGTCTCTTTTTAAATCTGAAAAGGGAGCAGTACAGGAACGTATCCCACATATCAGATCAATTATGGAACATCTGCTGAGTCAATTTTTCGTCAATTTGATTGTCACTGATTGTCCATTTTTCGTCACTGAGTCAATTTTTCGTTACACATAAAAAGAATCCTGAGAAAGTCAGGCAGTATGCTACCAGACCAGACCAAGAGGTAAATTAAATAAATTTCCATGACAAATATAAAGTTCCCATTACTAGAAAAGAAACAAAGGAGAAATGATCACCACGCACAAAATACTCAGAGCAATAGACAGCACTGTATGACATGGCTGGAACACGAACAAGGGATCAGAGACAGAAAAAACTATTTTCAATGTCACAGTAACCAATAGTTGAAATGGAAAGATGTTGTTACGGCACATTCTATCCCGCAGCTGCCAATGTTGATTTGACAGCCCTAAAAGGCAAGGAAACCTGTACCTGATGATAGAATGTTGATTACACACACTCAAACGCGTGCGGACAAGCACACACACTTATTCATTAACGCACACACGCAACCGGAGTGAAAGTGAACCATTTACTGCACTGAAGACAAGGTGTAGGAACCACTAGAAACCAAGAATTATACAGCTCACCAATGAAAAAAACAATTATACAGCATACCAATAATAACCATGAATTGTACAAGAGAACCAATAAAGACAAAACAGAACAAGATTGTTGCTCTCAACATTTTGAAAGAAAGAATATACATGATGTCCGTGAGGAAAACCATTCTACATTAAGCACTTCTCAAAACCAAGAATTGTACAACGTAATACAGTAGTGAGAATGTGACCGAGAGAACATCATGATGATGCCTTTGGGCATGCGCAGGAACAATACAGTTAACCTGCGCAGGAGCGTCAGTGGAGCGGACGTCTCCGCACACCTCCTGGTGGGGGAAGCAGTGTAGGTCAGTCAGCCTTGGTGCTGTGGCTTAAGTAGGCCATCTCCGTGAAGTTCACTCTTGCTCTCTCTCTCTCTTTCTCTCGTTCTCTCTCACTCTCTGTCTCTCTCTCTCTTGCTCCCTTTCGCAACAAAGAGCCGTATTTTGTAAAATATTTAACTGAACCAAAAATGAATCGTATGTTTTGTTAAATTATATAATTATAATATACTTAGGTATTACATCAATAACTGCAAGAAAACAACAATGGCAACCATACCTAAGTTAAATATGGCTATGGCAAAACTTCATGACAGGTAAAGGCCATGCTTTAAACATTATAAAATCGTATTATCAATATATTTGTTGTTATATTAAAATTTGGTAATTATTTGCACAGATATAATAACAAAACCTCTAGCACTTAAGTAAAACTAACATTACCTACCAACATCCGCTGGTAGGTAGGCCAACCAGGACCTAGGCCTATATGTGTGTGTGTGTGTGTGTGTGTGTGTGTGTGTGTGTGTGTGTGTGTGTGTGTGTGTGTGTGTGTGTGTGTGTGTGTGTGTGTGTGAGTGTGTGTGTGTGTGTGTGTGTGTTTCTACTCCAAGACTTGCATAAATTCTTGGGCATAGTCGTGACAGACACATGATATTTCAGCTACGTCTCGTGGCAGGCGTAAGTATGCTGGACATATGTGCGACAGTCACGAGGATGACAGGCACACAAGTATGAGTGACTAGGTGCAAATATGAGACATCAGAAATTTATTACAAATCGCGGGTAATTTTCTGGGTAAATGTGATTAATTTGAAGTAAAATTCAGTAGCTTGATCATTTTTGTTACTAATTTGAGTGTTCTGGTTAAAGGATTTAATTTTGTACGAGTCTATAGACGTTAAATGAAGCAAAAGTCGTGTGTGAACTGACGCGCACATTCGTCCACAAGGTCCCGGACTACAGACAGGAACTCTCTCACACACAGCGACAGAAGAGAAAGTTTGTTCACTACAGAGTATCACCAGCATAAACAGTGATTTTCTCTCGCGGCAACAGTCAACCTTCTCCATCAAAACACACACACACACACACACAACCCCGGGCCGAGTGGACAGGGATCGGGGGTTGTAGTCCTAAGGGCCCGGGTTCGATTGCAGAATGAGACAAAAAATTGGGCAGAGTGAAAGAAAGTGCCCATTTGTTTACTTAGCCCCTGTTTACCTAGCAGTAAATAGGTACCTGGAAGATAGACATGGACTATGGGTTGCATCATGGGTGTGTGTGTGTGTGTGTGTGTGTGTGTGTGTGTGTGTGTGTGTGTGTGTGTGTGTGTGTGTGTGTGTGTGTGTGTGTGTGTGTGTGATAGAGAAACATATGTATAGTAGATGTGGTAAGATGAAAAATAGGTCGGGAGTCAGTACATTACACACCAGATGGTTAGAAAGGCGGGGTCCAAGAGCTAACAGCTCGATCATGCAGGCACAAATAATGAACACACACAGGCTTGACGCAGTAGATGACATGCGCACCACTCGGATAGTCGGTTAAATGACGCTAGGTCTGGCAAGTAACTGGTTGGATGACCACGAGAACAGCATCGTGTAATTATCCAACTATTTACAATGATTCCGCATTAATACCAGCACCAGAAGTTGAAAGACAAAAGACAAGAGACAAAAGTTTTCTTAAAACAAAACCGACAATTAGCAAACTCGACGGTCAACGTACCATGCCATCTTACATGAAAAATTTTGTTACCTGTTTGTTGGTACTATAATAATATCACATTAACTTCAGAAAAATAATCCTCTACAATTTTCCATGAGGAAAATTCGGCCCTCGCTGCTACCACCATTTTGTTTTGTTCCAGATACATGATGATGTTGGATTTCGGTCAGGTCGTAAAAGCAGGTACATATATTTACTGTCAAATTACCCTCCTGCTGGCGCCATAACTTCGCTACACACTGACTTTTACCACGCTGGTGTTGGGTTAGATGACCCACCTGTGTACACACCAGGGGAGTTACTCCCGTTAGCACCCCACACCAGGGGAGCAATAGTCCTTCAGCACGCACACCAGGGGAGCAATACTACTTCAGCACCCACACCAGGGAAGCAATAGTCCTTCAGCACGTACACCAGGGGAGCAATACTACTTCAGCACCCCACACCAGGGGAGCAATACTACTTCAGCACCCACACCAGGGGAGCAATACTCCTTCAGCACCCACACCAGGGGAGCCAATACCACCAGTACTCACAGCAAGGGAGACACTACTGCCAGTACGCACACCAGAGAAGCACTGGCGGAAGTACATCAAACTCACGGCAACGGACGGAAAAAGAGCGACAATTACTCTGACAAAGCTGCAGCTTATAGAGCTTCTAGAGAGTATCTCTGGATACTATAGAGTATCTCTGCGTGGGTACCTAGAAAATATCTCAATGTTCCTAACAAAACCTAAAAACTCGAAAGATAAATAAAAGGAAACAATTATAACAAATCTCACAACTGCTATTATTATTGATAGTACTCAACCTGCTACCATTGAAATAATCTACTTGCTACTACTCCTAGAATCAGAATATGTTTGTATTCCGTTTAAGAAACGACGGAGGAGGTATTATAAATTAAAGCTTTTGTTTAGTAATGTCCATTACTTTACCACAGAGCGGAAATGAAATCCTTTACTTCACCACAGAGCGACAGTGATGTCCGTTACTTCACCACAGAGCGACAGTGATGTCCGTTACTTCACTACAGAGCGACAGTGATGTCCATTACTTCACCACAGAGCGACAGTGATGTCCGTTACTTCACCACAGAGCGACAGTGATGTCCGTTACTTCACCACAGAGCGACAGTGATGTCCGTTACTTCACCACAGAGCGACAGTGATGTCCGTTACTTCACTACAGAGCGACAGTGATGTCCATTACTTCACCACAGAGCGGCAGTGATGTCCATTACTTCACCACAGAGCGGCAGTGATGTCCATTACTTCACAGAGCGACAGTGATGTCCATTACTTCACCACAGAGCGGCAGTGATGTCCATTACTTCACAGAGCGACAGTGATGTCCATTACTTCACCACAGAGCGACAGTGATGTCCCATTACTTTATCACAGAGCGACAGTGGTATCCATTACTTCACTACAGAGCGACAGTGATGTCCATTACTTTATCACAGAGCGACAGTGATGTCCATTACTTCACTACAGAGCGACAGTGATGTCCATTACTTCACTACAGAGCGACAGTGATGTCCATTACTTCACAGAGCAACAGTGATGTCCATTACATCATCATTGAGCGACAGTGATGTCCATTATTTAACACAGCGACAGTGATGTACATTACTTCACCACAGAGCACTAATGATGTCCATTACTTCCCCACAGCTTGACAGAGACGTCATAACTTCACCACTGCCTAACAGTGACATCATTACTTCACCATTACTTGCCAGTGACGTCACTACTTTACCACAGTTTGAGAGCGATGTAAATTACTTCTTCACAGCTTGACAGTGATGTCATTACTGACCCATAGCTTAACCGTGACATCAATGCTCCACCACAGCTTTACAGTGATGTCACTATTCCACGCCAGTTTGACAGTAATGTTACTTTCACATGTTTAGCGATATATTATACCTTACCTTCCATATAATTTACATATAACCATTTTCACAAAAACAAATATATAAAGTACATCTTCTGTAAGACTCACTTTGAGAGGCTATTTGACAAATTTCACATATTTCCAGCCAATTTTCGATTCATATGACTGCAAAAATAAATGTCAATTATTTGTTTCAGACTATGGGTAAGTTGTGAAGAGGAGCGGGAGATGGACGCACCTGGTGAAGAGGCTGAGAGAGAAGTGCTGTAGTCAGCAACAACACACAGGAGCGAGCCGTCATCCTCTCCCTGAGAGCTACACCTTCCTACTGACGCGTTGAGGTTACTCGCAGCCCGTCACCCCTCCCCTCCTCCTACCACACCACCCACCACCACATCCACTACCACTACTACTACTACCTACCACCACCCACACCACTACTACAATCTAAACTACCAATTTCTTCAGCTTTACATCTTTATAACAACCATTACTTTAACTGGACACTGGTGTTATATTAGTCTCACTAAACTTCGTATCTTTTATATCCGATGTTCTCTCTGTTGTTAATATATTCTATGCAGGTCTTATCCTTCAACGTTAAAGCCACGTGTCTTTGTGTGTAATGGATGTCGATTGAAAAGGTATTCTCACTATCAATATGCCGTTGGCTGCCTGTTCATTTTGTCCAGACTCTGTGATTCACACCTATGGGTATTTTGTGTGCGTTCGCGTGCTTGCGAGGGATGAGGGAATGAGGAGAGAATGTGAGTTAGGGTGTGTGTGTGTGTGTGTGTGTGTGTGTGTGTGTGTGTGTGTGTGTGTGTGTGTGTGTGTGTGTGTGTGTGTGTGTGTGTGTGTGTGTGTGTGTGTAGGAAAAAGGAAAACCAAACAGGAACCAAAGCTGAATGTACCGAAAGCGTCTAGTTTACCCATTATACTCAAAATATTTGCCTCGCATCATTTATATTTTCGCCAACTAGTTCCCAGCTACTGACACCACCTGTTCCTGTCAGAATGAAAAAATGAATAAATTTCTCAAGAGAAACTTCTTTACATTTACGGGCTTCCATCTTATGTAGCGCGTATGTCACTAAGATATTAGTTCGACATTCTAATGGCCTCAACTTCCCCTTTACATCTCGTAGCCTACGTGATGATGTCTATCAACAGGAGACGTGTAGCCATCTGAGAATGTGTGGATATCTGGCACGATGCTCCTCGGCTTTTTCCTCTGTCGTTGGCCATTAAATGTTACGAGACAAAGGTGTGACCCATCCACGGTTCCGGCCACACCAACACATCCCTGTTTGCCAGAGTATTAACAGGTTCGTATTGTGACCTTCACTAACTCGCTAAGCGGCCCATGGGGGATTTAAGCGTCACTTGACACATTACGTAATTACCTCTACATTCTCACGGAGTTGACCAACGTCAGATTTGAAATGGTTTCTCCCTAACGAGAAGCGTACTAAGCTATCAAGCCGGACGGTCTCTAGTCCAAAGAGACGTTAATATTACGATGCTATTAGTAACACTAAGGCACTGAAAATGTTACGCTGCGATCGATAGCATCAAAAACACGTGGATTATTAATCAGAACGAGGAAGTTGCTATAGAGGGAGAGACTGCAAGACTAGTCGCTGCTGGCGGCACCGGTGGACTGCATATCTTCCTGGGCATCTGAACAATGGCCCAGTGCCAAGTGTGGCACACCCGCAGTAACCTGGATAGTGGTGGCTGCATGATGATGTTCAAATGCACCTCTCAAGTTCATGCTGATGCCTGATGTTTGGGACCATAAGACATTAGTCTCATATATATATATATATATATATATATATATATATATATATATATATATATATATATATATATATATATATATATATATATATATGTCGTACCTAGTAGCCAGAACGCACTTCTCAGCCTACTATGCAAGGCCCGATTTGCCTAATAAGCCAAGTTTTCATGAATTAATTGTTTTTCGACTACCTAACCTACCTAACCTAACCTAACCTAACTTTTTCGATTACCTAACCTAACCTAACTTATAAAGATAGGTTAGGTTAGGTTAGGTAGGGTTGGTTAGGTTCGGTCATATAACTACGTTAATTTTAACTCCAATAAAAAAAAATTACCTCATACATAATGAAATGGGTAGTTTTATCATTTCATAAGAAAAAAATTAGAGAAAATATATTAATTCAGGAAAACTTGGCTTATTAGGCAAATCGGGCCTTGCATAATAGGCCGAGTACGGCGTTCTGGCTACTAGGTACGACATATATATATATATATATATATATATATATATATATATATATATATACTTGGTATAAAATCCAATGATACCCAGTTTCAGCAATGAAATTTGGCATTTTCATTGCTGTTCAGCCGAATTATTTTAACAATCTTTTATCATTTCATCGGCTTAGAACTCTAAATTCGTGAGCATTAAATCGAATCTGCCAATCTTTAAACTGTCAAAGTTCAGATTGTTCTGAAGCTGTTTTAAAATCTTTATCTGAATTTTCTTTTATATATTATTGTTATTGGTAAATATGCTAATCTTGCAGTTCATTTCTGTTGCTATATTGTATATATAAGGTAAGCAACGCAGGTCCCAGGAGAGAGTTTACATTTTTATACAAACCGCAATAAAATAAAATTCAGTGAATTCTTCAAAATCGTCATTTAAAGACGTCGACAATTGTACAAAAAACTGTGGCTTTTATTTGACAAACAATACCTGTTTCTGTCACAAGCAGCTCGCGTCCAACCAGCCTAGTATTCCTTTGGGCTAGTGGACGACCCCGTAACGCAGAGAGGTGTGAGCTGGGTTCCTTAGGCATCGAAATAGCTGGTTACTCTTAAGATAAATGACTGCATTCCGACAATGTTTTCACACCTAGCAATCAAGTTATGATGTCAGGGAGGTTACCTTGAGGTTACCTTGAGGTGCTTCGGGGCTCAGCGTCCCCGCGGCCCGGTCGTCGACCAGGCCTCCTGGTTGCTGGACTGATCAACCAGGCTGTTAGACGCGGCTGCTCGCAGCCTGACGTATGAGTCACAGCCTGGTTGATCAGGTATCCTAAGGTAGGATACCTTAGATAAGGGATGTATCAACAATAAAATTCCTAACAATAACGTAGTTTCGTAGCGCCTCCAAAGTGTGTTGGTGCTTTCTAAATCGTTCCCCTGAGACTGATGACTGGCTACTTACCAACAACAAACACAGACCCGACCTTGCAGCTTTCTACCCGGGGAACAAAGCGGCTCTGCACTCTCTTTATGAAGACGCACAGACATGGAACACTGACCCACACAGTATTTCACTACATCGTCGATTCAACCCAACTTTCTCCGCAGCTAGATGGAAACAATCAGAAAAATATGTATTCAGTACTGACTGTTCACAATAGTGAGGTGGAGTGCGATCTGAAGCGAATAGTACAGTTGGGTTCGTACTCGACCTAGAGTCAGGAATCCGGGATTCGAATGCCGGGCGGGACAGAAAGGGTTGGGAACGATTCCTTTCACCTAATGCCTCTATTCACCTAGCAGTATAAAGGAGTCAATCACGGGGTCTGACAGCTGAGTGGATAGCGCTTCGGATTCGTATTCCAGAGGTTCCGGATTCGATCCCCGGTGGAGGCGGAAAAAAATAGGCAGAGTTTCTTTCACCCCGATGCCCCTGTTAGCAGTAAATAGGTACCTGGGAGTTAGACAGCTGCTACGGGCTGCTTCCTGGGAGTGTGTAACAAAACAAGAGGCCAGATCGAGGACCGGGCCGCGGGGACGCTAAGCCCCGAAATCATCTCAAGATAACGATGTTAGTCAACTTGTAGTGGGGATTACAATTTGGAATGCAGTGTAAGGGTGGATTTTTCGGCCCTAGCTGTTCAGGGGGGTTAAGGGGGAAACCTCGACATAACAGGCTGCCTGTTCCCGACAAGACGAATTATGATTAATTATAATTATTAAAAGAAGGCACCAAGTCGAAGATGACTTTTAACACCGCTGAAACGTGTAATAATAATTCATTTGACGATCTATTCACTACAGACGATTAAATAAATCCCAGCTGCGTCGGGGCACAAGTAACAGGATCACCCAGCGGGTTTGCTTCCTATTAATGGGAGTTGACTTATGCTGCTACTCCGGTACGTTAACTCACAGGATGAGTGACGCTCTCCATCAGACTAGCCATCCGGAGCAACATTCAATTAAAAGACATTACCTCCGCCCACATGGAGGAGTGTGTTACTGGGGGGTGTCCTCCCCGAGTGTGTGTTACTGGGGTGTGTCCTCCCCGAGTGTGTGTTACTGGGGGTGTGTCCTCCCCGAGTGTGTTACTGGGGTGTGTCCTCCCCGAGTGTGTGTTACTGGGGTGTGTCCTCCCCGAGTGTGTGTTACTGGGGTGTGTCCTCCCCGAGTGTGTTACTGGGGTGTGTCCTCCCCGAGTGTGTTACTGGGGTGTGTCCTCCCCGAGTGTGTTACTGGGGTGTGTCCTCCCCGAGTGTGTTACTGGGGTGTGTCCTCCCCGAGTGTGTTACTGGGGTGTGTCCTCCCCGAGTGTGTTACTGGGGTGTGTCCTCCCCGAGTGTGTTACCGGGGTGTGTCCTCCCCGAGTGTGTGTTACTGGGGTGTGTCCTCCCCGAGTGTGTTACTGGGGTGTGTCCTCCCCGAGTGTGTTACCGGGGTGTGTCCTCCCCGAGTGTGTGTTACTGGGGTGTGTCCTCCCCGAGTGTGTGTTACTGGGGTGTGTCCTCCCCACTTGTCTGTGACGCCACCAACACCCACTTCCCACGTAGGGAGAAGTGGGTGTTGTCTCGTGAAGGTTTTTCGAGAAAACTCGAAGGTTTTTCTAGATTTTTTTTTCTCGTGAAGGCTTTGCATCCGGGAAGGAGCGGAGAGGAGGTAGAGGGAAGAGAAGGTAGAGAGGAGAGAGACGGTTACCTTACCTTGAGGTTACCTTGAGGTTACCTTGAGGTGCTTCCGGGGCTTAGCGTCCCCGCGGCCCGGTCGTCGATGAGGCCTCCTGGTTGCTGGACTGATCAACCAGGCTGTTGGACGCGGCTGCTCGCAGCCTGACGTATGAGTCACAGCCTGGTTGATCAGGTATCCTTTGGAGGTGCTTATCCAGTTCTCTCTTGAACACTGTGAGGGGATTGCCAGTTATGCCCGTTATGTAATACGGTAGGTGGGGAGTAAATAGTGAAGCACCGCATCAAGCATTTCCCATTATTTAGCATTACGACTCTCCTATAACCGCCCCCATGACTACCATATCAAAATTCAAACACAATTAAGAACCCCATTAGCAAAGAAACGTCAAAATAAATACTCGTGAATGAAACTTGCAATTCAT